AGATGATTACTGCCACATTAGGCAGGAGTCAGGTCACACTTGTGCCCATGTGCCTGCCTATATGTCAGTGGCCCAGAGAGAGATATGCATGAGTGTGCATGCTTTACTCAGCGGGTAGGGGTGGGGGTCTGCAGGCATCTGCCTGTAGTGGCCCTGTACATGTCAAGGGTACTGGGGAAACATGCATGCTGCCTGTTGCAGCTGGATGACTATCTGGCCTGTGTGTGAGTGCGTGTGTGTTCATGTGCAAATGCAAATGCCAAATGCTTGTGAGTGCAGAGGGTGGCTCCTCAGCCCAGCCAAGAGGCAGGGAGGAAGAGAAAGGGGAGAAAGTCCCAGTTCTGGTGCTCCTCAGGACTTGGACTCAGCACTGCTGAGGATCCAGGCCCCACGGATCCAGACTGGGCATCCTCAGGCAGTCGGCTATGCTTGTCCTGGGGGCCCTGAGATGAACCCAACCCTGCAGGGCAGGCTGGGCAGGGCTCCCATACCTGCACCCCCTCCCCTCACTCCAGGCCTGAGCCAAGGCATGGTGGTGGGAGGCTTAATTACATCCATGAATGATTCTCAAATAGCTCCTGTCCAGCAGGACTAGAGGGTAGTGATGCCCGCCTGGAGCTGGGAGCCTGGTGTGGCTGCAAGGGGCTCCCAGGGCCTCTGTTATATAAGAAAGTGGGCGGGGATCCCGGCCAGGCCTCCTGGCCTCTCCTCTTTTACCCGCCTACTGTGGCTTCCCCCAGCAGCTTGCAGAATCCCCCCGCCTCTCAGCTGACTTATCTCAGTGGCTGTGGGCAGAGCGGAACTGACTCTCCCAGACCCCGCCACCTCTGCCCCACCCCACGTTATCTTGCCTGCTCAACCTTCTCCCACCTCTTGTGGCTGGCGGCTGCTGCAGACCTCTCCAGCTCCTCTTCCCAGCATCCTGTAGGCCTCTTTGTCCCCTGTTGTCTTTTTTCCTCTCCCTGCCTATCTTTCTCTCCCCAGAATGTTGGGGGGCATTCCAAGGCTCAGTTCACTGCAGGGTTGGAGTGTGTTGGGCTGGAGTCTGACCTTGTGCCTGTGGTTAAGGACCCATCTCCACTGAGTCCATTGGGCCCAGGGTCAGCATTCACCAGCACCAGCTCAGCCTGGTAACCTCCAGTAACTGCCTTTAACCTCAGTTTTCTCTTTAAACTGGATGAAAGTGGTGCTTGGACTAAGCAGGAGGGGAGGGGCCTGCTTCTGGCCTGTGCCTCCTGTTGGTAAGTTTTTTTCCGGCTAGGGTGGCCCACTCCTGATAGGGTTCTGACTTTAACTCAAAGTCTATGGATCTGCCCCCTCCTGCCACCTTTTGGGAGGCTGGGGAGAGGACTGTGGGCATTCCCTGCTTCCCTCTGGGAGCCCTGGGCAAACTTGGCGCCAACTCCCCCTGGCCTGTAAAGACAGAAGCTGCGGGTCTGATGTGGGCTCTGTCAAGAGAATATTTCTGTGACAGTCAATCATCACATGATGGGTGAAGGGAGTGTGAGAACGTATAACCAGAAGTGGGATTGCTAAATCACATAGTAATTCTTTTTTAATTTTTTGAGGAACCTTTATACTGTTTTTCATAATGGCTGTACTAATCTACATTCCCACCAACAATATACAAGTGTTACCTTTTCTCCACATCCTCACCAACATTTGTTATTTTGTGTCTTTTTGACAATAGCCACCATGGTAACAGGTGTGAGGTGATATCTCATTGTGGTCTTGAATTGCACTTCCCTAATGATTAGTGATGTTGAGCATCTTTTCACACAGCTTTTGGCCGTTTGTATGTCTTTGGAAAAATGTCTGTTTAGGACCTTTGCTTATTTTTTAATTGAGTTATTTTTTATATTAAGTTGTATGAGTTCCTTTTATATTTTGGATATTAACCCCTTATCAGTTATATGGTTTGTAGATATTTTCTCCCGTTCTATGGGTTGCATTTTCGTTTTGTTGATTGTTACTTTTTTTTTTTTTTCCTTTTTGTCTTTTTTTTACTGACTGGTAACGAGATCGCAACCCTCGGTGTCACGCCCGTACCGGGGACCGGCAACGGGATCGCAACCCTCAGTGTTGCGCCCGCACCGCGCTCAGCCAGTGAGCGGGAACCGGTCTCCACATGGGATTCGAACCCTTGGCGGGAGCACCGCCGTGCTCCCAAGTGGCGCACTCTCCAGCGCGCCACCGGGCCGGCCCCGGGTTGGTAATATTTAATAAGGGACATTGTTAAGAGAATTTTTCTTGTGCACAGGACTAGCCTGGCTGGGTGCTGTGCTGTGGGGACAACTTCCCCTTCTAGCCTGGGATGTAGGGGACTCTCAGGAACTTGCAGGGCTGGCAGACTTGGCACCTGCCTGGCTCCACAGAGTTTTGAAGCTCAAACTCTAGTCAGGTCTCCCTGAATCTCAGAGACCTGGGAAGAGGCCCCAGGAACCCCTAATACCTCAGGACTTGGTGGGACACTTTTCTACTACCACCACCTAAACCAGCCTGGCCAGATAGATGATAGACTGCTGCCACCTGGTGGCCACCAGCAGCACAGTACCCTCTTCCAGGGTCCTGTCTCTGGGACAATCTCACCCTACACCTGTCGCCCCCCCCCCCAATCAGGGTAGCTGGGCTCTGGGCACCCTTGAGACCCCCAGCCAGACTGTGCATGCCTGGGGAGCTTAGCTCAGGCCTGACTGCTCATCTGGGCTTTGAAACTTGTTTGATACATGGCCATGACAGCTGCTCCTGGCCAGCCCTAAAAGCCCTGCACATTTCAGCAGCTGTCCTGGCCAAGGGCAGTCTGGACTTGGAAACCCTGGAAGCTCCCTCTAGTTTAGCAAGATCCCCTTCCAAATTTGGGTTTTGGGTTTCCTTGATTGGGAAATTTGCACTGCCTTACTAGCACCCCGCTCAGTCATGGCTGGGAGGACCTGTGGGCTGGGTCAGGGCAGAGGAGACAGCACACTCAACCCTGGGCTTGGGGTTGGAGCAGACACTGATGGGCTGGTAGGGGAATACCTGGACCAGGGGGCTGAAGCCTCAGGTCCTCAAGGGTGAGAGCCATTCAGCACCAGCAAATATGGTCTGGCGTGAGAGACCTGAGCCTGTCAAACCTCAAGAACTGGGGCCATCAGTTCAGATGCAGGGTGAAGGCTGCAGTCACCTGGCTAGGTATACTGGTGACAGATGTGACTGTGGAGGAATGGGCTGAAAGTGGGAGGAGGAGCCTCCAGCTTCTCTGAGGGGTTGGCTCAGACTCATGTTCATAGGAAACCTCAACTTTGTGTTCATACAAAAGCCCATACCAGTGCTGACAGAGCAGTCTTCATGGGAGCAGCCTTGAGCAGCTTATAGGTGACTGTCAGTACCAAGCAGTGCAGGATGAATTCAAGGGCCCTTCCTGGCATGGGAAAAGTTAATCCGAGGGTCAAGGTGGCTGATGGAGGGCTGGCTCGCCCATCAGTGTTTGGCTATGGCTCCCCTAGGGAAGACACTTCCACCCAGCCTTTGATGAGCTGGGTGTATGTAATTAAGAGCTTCCCAGATCCCATTATGCATGTCCTCACCTGGAAGAGCCTCCTAGGCTGGCTGTCAGATGGGCCTAAGTAGGCTGCTTGTGACTGCTGCTCAGGTTCAAGGACTACCAGCATCTCCCTGGTGCTGTGAGGGCACTGGAGGTGGGGCTTGTCTCCTCCACAGGGCTACCAACCCTGGTAGACCAGATCTGTGACACATTCTGTGCCCCAGCTTCGGCAACTTAGGCCCTCATTTGTGAGGTGCCCAAGCCTTGCTTTGCAGAAATCCAGGCTTGAGGCTTCTGCATTTGCCTCCACCTCTCCCTAGCAAAGCTGTGATTAGTGATTAGGCTCAACCTCTCCAAGATGCCACCTGGCTGGCTGGGGTAAGGACCTGTACCTTACAAGTTCCTCCTGAGCATTTTCCATTCCAGTTTTGTAAGGGTCATGCCTGCCTGAAAATAGCGAAATGTGATCATCCACAAAAACCATCTTAAGGACAAATTCCAGGGCTGGCTGGTTAGCTCAGTTGGTAAGAATGCAGTGTTGTAACACCAAGGTCAAGGTCAAGGGTTTGGATCTCTGTACTGGCCAGCTGCGGGGAAAAAAAAAAAAAAAAAAAGTTCCAGAGAAAGGCCACCCTCCCTGACTGTATGACAAATCTGTGGAGCTCAGGCACAAAATTTGGGCAAATTAGCCTTGTAAGCACCCAATTACCATGTCAGTTGGTCCCAAGAACAGTCTCTGAGACCCAGGCACACTTCCTGCCCTCAAGCACGGTCTTTTTGGCTAAAATGGTGTTTCACCCTGCTGCTAGAGACAAGGATGGGATGACACCATTCAGAATAGAAAACCCTGCAGTGTCCCTGAGCAATTTCTTGATAGTTGAGATGAGAAGGTAAATGGGGTTCTGCAGCAGGGAGAGAGATGGCTTTTTCGGCTCCTCCATCCCAGCAGAGGGTAGACCAGGCATTATCTCTACCATGGCCACAAGCAGATTCTACCCCCCAGAGTAGTAACATCCCCTCCTCCTGTGAAAACTGGACACTCACTTTGGTCTTTAGAAACTGGAAGGAAGTGAAAAAGCTCATTGTTAAGGTTGTTTCCATGAAGCATTTTAAAACATGTTAACAAACCCTTGAATTTAAAAATCTCAACATGGATAATGGGGACAAGGAAATGGTATAAAATACTACATATAAATAACTTTTTTTTTTTTTGGTCCTTTTCGTGACCAGTAAGGGGATCGCAACCCTTGGCTTGGTGTCGCCTGCACCGTGCTCAGCCAGTGAGCGCACCGGCCATTCCTATATAGGATCCGAACCCGCGGCGGGAGTGTCGCTGCGCTCCCAGCGCCGCACTCTCCCCGAGTGCACCACGGGGTCAGCCCTAAATAACTTTTTTAACAAACTGATTTCATCACCAGGATTGACTGGCTCAGACAAAAGCCCACTCACTCACCCAAGAATAAAGAGACACATGACATCCATTTTTCAAGATATTTCTTTTGTAAAGGAGCCAGATTTGGCAACTAGACTGAAAATCTTCCAAAATTCTGTACAAATGTGTAATATACAAATATACACAAGGCTTCTGCCAAGGAAAGACATCACAACAACAAATGACAGAGGTGACTTTGATGTCACATACCACCTAGGGCATTTCAAACCCCCAGGAATGTGAGGGTCTGATGGACTACAACATAGGCTACACATGTAAAACACGCTACATTACACTATGTACACTGAAGTATAAAAAACCCACTGTCTTCTCCAGTCTGTTCACAAGTCCTCTGGTGGGAAGGAGGGTAACCCACACAAGGGGAACTCCTCTTTAAGGTGGGAGAACCCTGCAGAATGAAGTGGTTCACCCTAAAAACTATTAACAGCACAAGGCATGCCCTTAAAGAGATAGGCAGTAAGAGTGAATTCAGGAGATGGACCACTCCTTGTGATCCTTGGAGCTTCGTGTCGTCTCTCTCTCTCTCTCTCTCTCTCTGTCAGTCTCACTCCATTTCAGTGAACCGGGCAAACATGGCTTTCCGAACAGCATCTTTGTAGGAATCAGCACCTGACAACCCATACGCGCTGCCTTTGGCTCCTAGGCCAGCTCCTTTTAGCCGGACTTGAGCCTGGGGGAACAAAAAGACTGTCAACAGCTGGCAGGTAGAGAATGGATAGTCTACTCTTTACTGAGCAGGCCCGCCCACCAGGAGGCAGGAAAGAGGAAGTTTTATATAAAGAAAGGAATTCCTACTGGAGATCTGCAACAGGTTTAAGGACTGAAAGAATAAAATGTGCTAAGAAAGACAGGCAAGTGAAGCCATGTCCCCCACCCCTCAATGCCTGTTCAGCAAGCATCCGTGCCTTGTAAGACCCCAACACACTCTACTGAAGCCTAGGGAAGGTCTGCTAATTAATCATAAGTACAGACAGCAAGACAGCCTGATGTCGGCAGAACTCACATGCACAGGATAAACATCGTCTATGAGTCTGACTTAAGATGTGCTGCCAGGACAGAGTGAGAACATTCACTGGTGGAACTACTGCCTAGAAGGCCAGTGGGTGGGGGCCTCTGATCCTGGGATTGTCTCAACCTGGGCTCTGACCAATTTAGAGACTTCTTCCTTTTTTTTTTTCCTTTTTGTCTTTTTTCATGACCGGTAACGGGATCGCAACCCTCGGTGTCGCGCCCGCACCGCGCTCAACCAGTGAGCGGACTGGTCTCTATATGGGATCCGAACCCTCGGCGGGAGCGCCACACTCTACTGAGTGTGCCACCGGGCCGGCCCGAGACTTCTTATCATGAATGAAAACCCTACCACATTTTAATTTTTTAAAAATACATAACCAAAATCATTTAGAAGGAAATTTATAGTACCTTTAAAAAAAATCCAACCTAGGGCCAGCCTGTGGCTCACTTGAGAGAGTGTGGTGCTGATAACACCAAGGCCATGGGTTTGGATCCCATATAGGGATGGCCAGTTAGCTCACTGGGTGAGCATGTTGCTGACAACACCAAGTCAAGGGTTAAGATCCCCTTACCAGTCATCTTAAAAAAAAAAAAAAAAAAAAAAATTCAACCTAAACTGAGTGGGTCCTCGGTTGGTGTTAAGCAAAGTAAGCACTCTCCGTGACAGGGTTTATTTATAACAAAGCAAACAGAAATACATGGTCTTTAGAAGAAAGTGGGTTTTAGCCAAAGATACAAAAAAATCTGACCAGAAAAATCATGTAGGGGTGCCATACCAATTTCTCCCAATCAATATCTTAAAAGAATCCCACTCAGTGGTGATGACATGATCTGGCCAAGGAGATGGTCCCTTTGTGGTAAGGTAAAGCTGCTTCTGGGTTTCAGAACCTCTGGGCACTATTATCTCATCTACTCTCTGGAATAAGCCTGTAAAAGCCCAACACCCACTGAAGCCCCAACCCTAGTGCTTACCTCAATGGGAGCTGTGATGCCTTGACACTTTCTTCCCAAACCAGAGCCTTCCCGCCAGCCCATGGCCTGCAGCATCTTGTTGCCAATGTTACTGTGGTCAATGCCATCTTTGGTGGGCTGCTCATAATTCCTGCCAGTGGCAAACACATAGTTACTTAAAATAGCCAGAGCCCCAGCTAACGAACTGGAAAATGTGCACATCACATACACACTGCCAGCATCAAACTGCTTCTTGCGCTTGGGCTCTGGAGGTTCTGGAATGCCATACTTTTCCCGTCTTTCTGCAGCTCGATCTCGATATTTCATCTACGTGGGACAAAAAAACACTATTAGATATATTCACAAAGTTCAACCTGTAACAGCCTATTGCACCTATATCACCTTGAGTATTTTTTAATCCAGAGCTTGACTTTTTAGACTGGTCTGAGATACCAAATTTCCTTGTTCCCCCTCACTTCATTTAGTCATACCTAAAAAGTTTGTAGAGATGAATAGTGTGTGGAACCAGGAGAACTATGTCTCCAAAAAGTAGTTTTATTTAATAAGCCACCACTTGCCAAGCTCTCCAACCAGCCCACTGGACTGTGGATATAGCCTAGCAAGGCCCTAAAGAGGAAGGCAGTTGCCTGTTTTCCTTCAGCATGTGGACAAGCTCACCTCCAGGGACAGATAGCATCCAGGAGGCCTGCAGAAACCTACTCAGCAGTCCTTGGGGAGCTGGTACCATAAACAGTAGGGGAATAAAAGGAAAGCAAAAGCCTTAACTATAGACACCACAGAATTACCTTGGGGTGAGAAATTTCTAATCTACTGGTTCACTTCTAACCCACAGGCCTCTACTGGCATTTTAAAAACCCTGCCTACCTGGCCCGGACCTGCACTGTCAACCCTAGTACCAACTGTTTGCTGTTACTGGCATTACAAGCTTCTCCTACCTTCACCCCCAGCCCTGACTGCCATGCCCTGCCCACCCCTTCTTTCCACATCACCTGCAATCATCTCATGCCCTGCTCTCCTCTGGGCCTAATTTGAAGCCTCCCTCACTGCTCAAGAAGGTTTCCCTGGCCAGGCCAAATGAGAGCACTCTCTCTGTAATAAAATCCAGTGTACTTTCCCAGTGAGCACTTTGCATTCAGGACCTGTGAGCTGTCTTGAGGGTGTGCTTCTCTGTCTTGTGCATACTCATGAAGGGACAGCGCAGGGCTCACAAAGTACCTATAACCTGGGTCCAGTCTACATAAGCTATGATGGCTGGGTGTGACAAATCCTTCTACCCGGCCCTTGGGACCTGGAATTGAATGCTACAAATAAAAGCTAAAAGTAGATATCCCAAGAGATTCTTCCTACTGGCACATTGTTTTTCACTCACCTCTCTTTCTCTCAGCTCCAAGGCTTCTAGCTCCTGCTCACTCAGCCTGGATCGTCGGTAGATGTCCATGTTTTGCTATACAAAAGATTTTATAGACTCAGTAAGCATTCAGATCATCCTAATTTGAAAAGTCGTAACATTAGCAACAATGTTGTATTCTAACAGCCAAAGCCCAAATCAATACACTACTGCATAAAAAAAGAGCTGCCATGTTCCTCTCCACTCTAAGATTTGGAACAGCTTTCTATAAGGCAATCATTCAACAGCAGGTATTTAATGAACCTTCACTATGGTCAGGGAACTCACACAGTCTCACTGCCTCCCCTCCCCACCTGAGAGAAGCATGGCCTACCTTGTGTAGGTCTGAGAGCTGCTGGTGCCGGACCAAGGCATCTCTGTTTGGGAACTGGCGTCGGCAGAGCAGGCAGGCCATCTTCTTCCAGTCGGCCAACTTCTCTTCCTCACTCTCAAGTCTCTCCACCAGCTCCTCCTCATTGTCACTGTCACCACTGTAAGCAGCAACTAGACCTCTCTGGGGACAAAAGGAGGGTGGATCATTGGAAATGTACAACAGGAAGATAGCGATGGTTACATACCTGAAAAAAGTAATGCCTAATCCAAAATGTGAGAGAATCTCCATTCCTCTATGTCATACTCTAGCGAATCACATTTCCTCAACTGTATGGAGCAGTCAGGTCTTGGGGCCCAAGAAATGGGTTCCTGGGTGACTGTTTTCAAACCACTGACCACATATGAAAACCTTAAATACAGATCAGAGTAATGGCCTCCGAGTATCAACCCTCTTGAGGCTCAAGAAATGGGTTCCTGGATGACTGTTTTCAAACCACTGACCACATATGAAAACCTTAAATATAGCACATCAGAGTAATGACCCATCCAGATCAGTATCTGTTAAGTGAAATAAGTTTTTTCTTGTCTTAATTTTCTCTTTCCAGACCACTAAAACTCTCTATTTACAAGTGCAATGAAACTCAATTAATTGAGCTTAGGAATTCAGCCTTCATTCATTCTTCCATCTCACCTGCTCTCGTGCATAAAAAACAAAGCATTGAACATGATTCTATGTGTAGAAGCTGCTGCAAATACCCACCAGCAGTGGTCACATCCAGTTTTAAGTAGGAATCACATTAGCCAAGATGCACTTGAGATTCAAAGTGAGACACAAACCACAGATATGGTCTTTATTTTATTATTATTATTTTTCTAAAAGATGACCAGTTAGGGGATCTTAACCCTTGACTTGGTGTTGTCAGCACCACACTCTCCCAAGTGAGCCACAGGCTGGCCTCAGATATGGTCTTTAAAACACTGGTAGGTACTTCCTTACTTTGAGAGGATTCTCCTCATCTCCATTTCGCACCAATTCTGGGATGAGCTGCTGCCTTTCAGCTAAGGCTCCCTGGGAAACAGAACAAGCCATAAGCCTCAAGTTTTACTTAAGTTCCCATTATGAAGTATTGGTCTTTCCTTCCACTATTACCTTCTTCTCAAAGAGAGCAAAGCCAGCATCTGCTGCAGCAGATTCTCTCCTTTCTTCTTCCCTCAAGGAATTGACAGGTTGAAAGCTATTTTTAAAATTTTCTTTCTGCTTATTTAAACTCTTAGCCCAGCGTTCCATGTCTTTGGCAATCTAATGTCAAACAACAAACCACCAAAAAACATTTAGACCCCTGTGCCATGACAATGAACCATTAAGAATCTTATTTCAACCACATACCCTGTAACAAAACCCATTTTACTCTTACTTCTATCTACAAATATTTCCATGAGACACTAGTACATACAACCAAAGTCATTAAGGAATACTGCTTGAAAGGCTTTGAGACTTCCAGAATTTTTTTTTTTTTTTTTGGTGGCTGGCCAATAAGAGGATCTGAACCTATGTCTTCAGTGTTGTAAGGCTGTGCTCTAACCAACTGAGCTAACCAGCCAGCCCTCCAGGATTGTTTTTTCCTAAGTACATAGGTAAACTAAAAGATAGACAATATATGGTAACAATAAAAACACTACCAAAAAAAAAAAAAAAAAGCAAAATGCTCTAAGAACTTAATGTAAATAAAATATGTAACCCAGTTTTTAAGAATCCAAATAAAGCTCACAAAAATGCTATAACCCAATACTCCAAGGAGAAAAATATGGGTCCCATGGCCAGGTCATACTCTTACCTGTTGGGCTGTTTTACTCTTGGGTTTCTCCTTCTTCTCCTTCCCCTCTTTTGCAGGAGGCAGGCCTGTCTGCTGGTGGGAGCTAGACTCTGCAGCTGGCACATAGGTCTCCTTCTCTCCATCCCAGTAAAGGTACTGCTGGGTTAAGGAATTATAGTAGTACTAGAAGAAAACAATACAATTAACGCAGACTTTCAGCTATGTCAAATGATTAAAGAAATATTTTGTCAAAAAGCAGGTCATAGTTTTTTTGTCAAAAAAATTTAAACATTCAAATATAAAATAAAATATGTTGTGGACTAGTGATATTTCCTGCCCAGAAAGGACCCTCAGTACACCTTGGTATAGGTGAGGTTGATGAACCAGCCGGCGAAGAGGTATGAAACTTCTAGGGTAAAAGTAGAATATGGTTTCTTCTCAAGAGCCTAGTTCTCATTAATTTAATCCCTGGGCCTGCCTGGAGGACACCCAAAGAGCAATGTGTCTCACTCTTTCCCGCAGACAGACTGTTTACACAAAACAGGTGGCTAGAACAGGTAGATGTGCCATGGAGATCATATATCCTCCATGACAACCAGTTAACAGCTCATTATTGGGTTCATCCATGTAGAACCCTCTGGATACCCACACAACCAAATGTAGGGTATAAACACTAGCTCAGGAGACTGGAAGGAGGAGTTTTCAAAGGAACCCAAATCCACAGGAACTGCAACAGAGAATAAGTGTCACCCATTGTTTCCTTTTCTTTATTCTTCAGTCATTCTACTTGCTCAACAGGGAAGAACCTAGGAGAATGTTGTTTGTTATATCTCTTTGGGGGAAGGTAGTGTGGGTAACAGTCACAGAAGTTACAAGTTTTATGGCTACCAGGGAGAACTGCCAAGGAAATGGCCACACTTCACAAAGGAGAGAAGTCGAAGAATAGTGCAGAGGTCGGCCTGCTCAGGCAGGTCACACACAGCTTCACGCTTCACTCTCTCAGAAACCACAAGCTATCAATGCCAAGAAGTTCCTGTTAAAAGTACTTATTTTACTATTCTATATATACAGCTTCTGGTCATAAATATTTATTTATGGAGTTTTAAAGTTGCTTTTCCTCTTTAAAAGTTATATATACCCACCAAAAATAAAACATTACTCCACAGATGTGCTAAATTCTACCCTCAAGAATACACAGGGATGCTAAGTAAAAGAAGCCAAACACTAAGGGTCAAATACTGTCTGATTTCCATTTATATAAAATGCTGAGAATAGGCAAATCCATAGAGACAGAAAGTAGATTAGTGGTTACTGGGGGGTGGGGAATGGGGAGTGATTGCTTAATTGTTAGTTTCTTCTCGGGGTGATGAAAATGTTCTGGAATTAGTGGTGACAGCTATACAATACTGTGAATATAATAAAAACACTGAATTGTACTCTAAATGATTAAAATGGTGAATTTCATAGGGAGAAGAAGAACAATTATAAACATCTAAGGGCTGGCCAGTTAGCTCAGTCGGTTAGAGCTTGGTGTAGTAACACCAAAGTCAAGAGTTCAGATCTCCGTACAGGCCAGCCACCCAAAACACACACACACACACACACGAAAACGGAAAAACTTCTAGCTAGGTCTTTACATAAATTTTAACTTGACAAAGTAATTATGGAAATAGGACTCAGAATAGTGCTTACTGAAGGAGGAAAGTACTGACTGGTAAGGGGCATAAAGGACCTTTCAGGCATGGGGGAATGTTCTCCCTAGCTGAGTGGGGGTTGGGGGTGTGTGTGCGTGTACGTACATATATATATATATATGTATAAATGTAAACATTCAAAGAACTGCCTACTTCAGTCTTGTGTATTTTTCTGTATTTAAGTTATACCTCGCAACATTTTTTAGCTGGCCAGTTAGCTCAGTTAGAGCACGGTGCCGATACCACCAAGGTCCATGGTTTTATCACTATACCAGCCAGCAAACAAAGAAATTTTTACCTTAAAATTAAAATTTAAATACTAAAATAAAAGTTACATTTGGTGGCTTTGAAGAAGTTAACACTAATCTGGGTCATGTACTCCTTTGCAAGGAATATTTCATTTCATGCCTCATAAATTGACTAGGTGAAACTAGGATATTTCTAGTGAAATTGAGGAGGAAAACAGCGCATTTACTTGCGAGTTGGGGTCATAGTAGAGCCCTGTTGTTGGATCATAGTAATATCCTGAAGATTCATCATACTGGTAAGTGGACGTATCAGGTACTGCTGCAAAAACAAAATCCAGCACATAGTCATTTTAGGTAAGAAACTGGCTTTACTTCAAATTTTAAGCCAGTGAGATGCAGCAGGCCTTAATGTTCTTTCTCTCACATCCCCAAGTGTCCCTCTGATACCCACAAAGGGAGAGGAACTCTTAAACAAAGACAACAACTAGAACCTTCCAACTGTCAAGAGCCCCAGGAGGTTTGGCTTACCATATTTGGTACCAGGAACTACACCAGTAGGGGAAGCGGCTGGGGCCTGTGTACTTGTGCTAGTGCTAGGCTGTGCTTCCTCAGTCTGGAAAGTACAACAGCTTCAATATAATTTCAACTGTAAAGCCTTTTAAGAGAACTAAATCACTGCAGTTATCTAAGAGGAAGGGCTCTCCTGACAGACATGCTATAGCAAAGATCTAAGGCAATCCTTCGGCAAAACACATGCTGACAACTTTCTAAAGGTCAAATTGAAGCATGCGGAAAGTATAAATACAACCTTTTTGGAATTTTATATTTAAAATATATGCAGCCTGGCAGGTTAGCTCAGTTGGTTAGAGTGCAGCCTTATAACACTAAGATCACAGGTTCAGATCCCCACAACGGCCAGCTACCCACGCCCCATAAGTATACACGCACGCACACGCACACGCACGCACACAATGAAATTACTATAAATCACAGAGAGAAATAAGATTAGAATATGTACTACTCAGTCCTGGCTCATACAGCAGGAAAGGATAATACTTGTGCAGCAAAACAAGTTTCCCCAATAGCTACCAGTTCTGTATTTAGGACAACAGGATTACCGGAGAGCCAGGTGGATTGGAGGTTTGATTATATAGCTGGGGACTCTGAGACACTACAGCCGCTGAGGTAGTGGTCACCGCTGTGCCTGATGATAAATACAGGGGTTAGGGAGAGTTAAGGAACTGAACTCTAAGCCAAAACACCTTTATCTGTAATGCCCAATCTAGCTTTCTCTCTTTGTATATGTCAGTTTTTAATAACCTAATTCCCACTAAATACCCTGGAACCTATGACATTTCTATTTCCTTATAATCCTACTAGAATGTGACATAAAGTTAAGGATACTATATGATGACTAAGAAGGAAGAGAAGAAAGAATCCATATCTGCTCTGGAGCTGAGAAAAGATTTAACTATAAGGTTTTTTATAATTCTGGAACAAAAACTAATAAAGCAAAGGTTTTTAATAGTGATCTTTCTGACTGATGTCTGAGCACCAGACTCTAGGGCCATATCCTCTCTGCTCACCTGAACTTACATGGACATCCAAGACTCCCAACAACAAAGATGGGAAATGCAGAGTTCAATCCCAAGACTTCGTGGTGTACACGAACAAACCTAATCTTCCCCAGGACCCTAGGCACATGGTGAAAACCCCAAACGTGCCCCCAATATTCCTGCAGGGAAATGGACTTTTATCCTTAGGTCTTGGTAGGACATCTAGTCATATTTCCTCAACTGCAGTTAAACAGAAGGTAAAGGGAGATGGAGTTTACTACCTGATGCAGATGATGCATCAGATTCCAATCCTCCAGCTTGTTGCTGATAAAACTGCTGATAATCCTGCGAGTACTGAAAAAAAGTCCACAATTAAAGTTGTTATTCACAGACAAACTTTGGAGACTACAAGTTGGATGCTGGTCAAATACTTACCTGAGTGTACTGGGCATAGCCATCTTGGCCTGATTGCAGGTAACTATAGTCAACACTGCCTCCTTCACCACTTTGAGACTATAAAATGTCAGAAGAAAAGGAAACAATGACAAACTCAGTGGACATCAAGGAAAGAAATCGGGAAGGATTCTCTAAAAATGTCCTTGGAGAACTACTATTGCAAATACTACACAAGGGGTCACTTCTGTGAATTTGGGCAACACCATCATACTACCTTGAGCAAAAACATCCTCCATCTTACCTGAGTGGATGACCACTGAGCAGCAGCAATGGCTGTACTAGCCACAGAGAAGGCACTGACCCGGTTACCATCTGGAAGGACCAAGTCTCTAAAACCACAAAGATCCAATCATGTGATTCTATCTCAGTATGCTCCCCAATTTGTGCACCTACACTGCCAAGGAAACTGCTTCACTCCAGCCTTTTTCAGGTTTCAAATGCCAGCAAGGTCACATTTCATAGGGGGACTGTTCTTCTTAGACAAATGTCTCTATAGGATCACTGTTGTACTTTGTAACCTGCATTCTAGTAAGGCATCTGTTGGATAGGCAGTGGTGCTAGAAAAGGGAAATTAACAGTGTTAGACTGAAGCACTATATACATGAAGCTATTAATATGCTGTTCTGGAAGGAAAGGTTTATTTCTGGAGGGGTTTGCCCTATACTGCTGCAGTCTATTTTTTTGTTTCTGTTTTGTTTTGGCGGCTTGGCTGGTCTAACCAAGTGAGCTAACCAGCCAGCCTACTGCTGCAATTTTCACAGCACATGTTCTCAACCCATCTTCCATGCTTGTCTTTTGCCTGGCTCTGAAACCATTTCTGTCAACCATTGTCAACTGGTTACAGAAGACCGGAGAAAATAAAATCTAAGAGAAGACAATCATTTCCTTCCCAGTCTTGGAAACCAGAGAAGATAGTGTCTCAGTGTGGAAAACACGGACTTGGGGTACAGTTACCAAAGCATCTCTGGATAAGTGCAAATATAGCAATTTGCAATAAGGACAATTAAGTCACTCACTTTCTGGCACTTTTTGCAAAATCAACCCCGATAATTTTGCCATCAATTTTCAAAGGAGGCTGGAGACTCTGTAATATCTGAAGCAGCTGAGAAGCATCCTGAAGGAGAATGTAAAGAAAAACAATTTTGTCATGTAATTAAAAATCTCTCCCTACCACCTATCTGACTCAAAGAACTAGAGCTTTCTATCAAAAAATAATAACAAATAAAGCAATGATTCCTTACTGTGTTTGCAGATATGAAACCTTGAGGAAAGAAATACCTCTCTTTCCTCCAGGATGTGAAAGTATCCAGTATTATTAAAGGAGCAAATGCTAAACCGATCTAAAACAAAGCATGAAGGACTAAACTGGCTCAAACTTCAGTCTGGCCAGTTCTCTTCAGGTATATGCGTTCTTTTTACTATTTATTGAAATACTCTTGTAATTTAGCACTGCAAAAACTGTCGTTATTTAGCCTTGAACTTGGGATCCTGCAGCCTTAAACATAGTATCACAACTACCTGTTTCTTTTAAAAGGAAAGATTCAATGAGAATCTCACCATTGCAGAAGACAGCTGAACAAACGCAAAGCCTCTGTTCTGCTGGGTCTGTTTGTCTTTTATGAGGCGAATGTTATTGACAGCTAAGGATGCGTAGGGAGACAGTGCTGTCATGATGGAATCCACCACAGTGTGCGGAGCTATGTTCCGAAGAATGATCGCTGGGGGTGAATGAGACAAATTACATACATACACATTCCCACCACCAATATTTTCAAGGCAGGTTCGAGTACAAATATCCATTCTGGGAGGTTCCCTAGTCCACTCTGACATGGAGAATACTCTAAAAACTAGTCTTCTATGGGACAACCCGAAGCTGCTTTTAACACAAAGGTCAAAAGATTATACTTGAACTTACTATCACAGTAGTAATCCACAGACTGAACCGACTCTGTTGTTCCAGGGGGCACTTCCTGTTCAGAGTCTAGAACAGGAAAGGAAGGAAACCCAATTGAAGACAAACAAAAAACCAATGTGTTTTTAGTAAAGAAATACATTAAAACCTCCAACGTTTTCATTTTTTTTTTTTTTTTCTGTCCTTTTTGAGACCGGCCC